TCTGTGTTTCAGAAGTACAGAAAGTATTTGCAAGGCATCTAGCAAACATTTGTGAAATACCTACCATGTGCGAGGCCTACCTCTGGTCCCAAGGATGTCACAATAAACAAAACAAGTTTCCTGTTTTCATGGCTGGGTGGGGAGAGAGGAAAGATTGGTGTTGAGGCAGACTACCGATGAATAAAATGTGTAATTAAGTAAGGGAAGATACAACTGCTACTGTACAATTAAAGAGAATTAGATTATGATATATGAGCCTTAGATTAGATGGTCAAAAAAAGCCTCTCTGAGGAAGTGTTAATCAATTTGAGATTTAAATGGTGGCAGGCCCAGACATGCAATGTTCCAAGCAAAGGCTTGGAAGTGGGGATGAACATGATATTTTCTATAAGGGAAAGGCTTAGTGTGGCTGGAGAGTAAAGGACCAGGAGGAGAGGTGGCAAAACAGGGAGATAAGCAAAATAGGAATAATATGGAAGCCAGAAGAAAAATTTTGGTGTGCTCTAAATGCTATGGGGAGCTATTGGGTGTTAAGGGTCAGAGTGTTAAGCAGAAGAATGGCTGGTTGTGATTTATTTTTCAAAGTGCACCCCATCTTCTCTATGGAGAATGGAGCAGGAGGATATACATTTTTAGTAACATTGGAACCACTGAAGAATAGTAAGCAAGAAAATTGACTCTTATTCCTGGTTTTGTTTTTAAGATCTCCTTGACTATGGTGTAGAAACTGGACTTAGGTGGATAGATGTTTATAGAGAAAGCCAGAGTGGAAGAACTTTTAGTGAATTTAAGTGTGAAACTCAGATAGTGTCCTTAGATTGTAAGAAAAGAAGCAGCTTACTGAGAAACGATTAGGCCTATTTTTATACAATTAATTTCATTTAATTTTCACTACAACAAATGGAATAGGTACTTAGCCCCATCTTCCTTATATGAAGACTGAAATTCAGAGCGATAAATGAAATTTCCAAATATGCAGAAAAAATAAAAGGCAAATCCAGGATTCAAAGCCTGGTCTATGTGACTTAAAGCTCTAGTTTTTTTCTGCTCTACTATGGTGTCCCCAGGTCAGAATTAACAAAATATATTTAAAATTTCCTTCTAAATAGTAAAATAACATTCTGTAATATAATTTCTTTAACTATATGATTGACATTTAATTCATTTCTGTATTTTTGCTCATATAAATAGAACTGTAATAAATATTTTACATATTATTTTATTTCATTTCTCATTAATTCCTTACCTGAATTCTTAGATTCCTTAGCAATGTCATTGAATAGGATATTTTTTAAACTCTAAACATGTAATATCAATTTATTTTTCAGAAACGTGTGCCATTACACTACCCAAAACAACATTAAATCTTATTTTTTTATCTTTGTCAATCTAATAGCCAAAATTTTAATTTCACTGTTCAAGTTTCTTATACTGACTAATGAGGCTGATGAACATTTTCTACACTATTTTTTGGCCTTTTTATTTCTCTTTTGTGAATTTTATGTTCATTTAATTGCCCATTTTCCTACATGGTGTCTTTTTTTCTTAGTGACTTTTAAGTGCTCTTTATAGAGGAAGGATATTAAGGCTGTCACTATTTGCGGATAACTACCCAGATTGTCTTTTGCATTCAATTTTTTACTTTTCATTATGAAAATGTCATACATACAAGACAGTATGCTCCAGCTACCTATGCTTAAAACAAGCCATGTCAAAATTTAGTGGCTTAAGGCAACAAACATTTTATGGCATCTTAACAAACAGTTTATGTCACTTTATAGGTCTCACCTGGGAGCTTTATCTGCTCTCATGGCTTACTCACCTTGTGGAATGGCTGATCTGAAGGGCCCCAAATGACTTTATTCACATGTTTATTGCCCTGGCAGGGACAGGAAGGAAGGAGGGTGAGCTCTGGCACTGCCTACTGGAGCACCTACTTGGGGCTGTTCCTGCACCGTGGTCTCAGGGTACTCAGACTTCTTACTTGGAGGCTCAGGACTCCGAAAGACAGTATTCCAGAAACAGGGCAGCAGCTTTGTGGCCTTTTATGACCCGGCTTCAGAAGTTAGATAGTGCCACCTCACTGTGCTCTGTTGGTCAAAGCAATCACAAGCCTTCCAGAGTCAGTGGGAGGGACACAGAGGAGGATCAAGGAATGTGTGGCCATGTTTTCAAACCTCCATAGGGTATAAAATTTCTTTAAAATGAAGCAAAATCCCCTTCACCTTTTAATTCCATTTGTAACATTTTTATATGAAACTAGTTTTTAAGCATTTATATAAAATCATCTATTTTTCTTTATGATTTCTTCCATTGTTTTGTAATTCATTTTATACATTATTTTTGAAGTGTTTGTCTATAAAATTAAGGACAACTATCAATACATTTGAAGAAATGACTTTACAGTTTTTAGATAAAATACTGTGTATTGTGGTTGCATTCCTTTCATATAATTCTTAATCCTTTTTATCCTTAAATTCCTATCAATGACACCCTTGAAAATTCATCTGAAAATGCAGGTTGAACCATACATTTAATTACACAGTTGCTGTGTGGAGAAAAAAAAGAAGTTTGACTAAATAGTTCTTGCCCAGTGCTTTGCTGCATTTCTGGCTCAATCTTGCAAAATTAACTCAAGTACAATGAGCTACATTTGGCCTGTGTAGCTCATAATTACCATCAGGTCTTGCAGTGATCCTTAAATACTGAATAATCTGATTCATTTCATAAATGGTCACTGTAGCCCTCTTTCCCAGTTTTTACTGGCAAAGAAAAAAAAACTGTCATCCCATAATAGCAGCAAAGAAGTCTTTCAATTTGTAATTAGTTTGAAAGGCATTCTTCTGGCTAATAGAGACGAAAGAACACCTTTTAATATATGTTACAAACAATCAATAAATGCTAAATGATTATGCCTATCTCATGTTCTAAAAATGTCAATTGAGGTCTTTTCTGTTATTTTCTCTGCTTCCAATATTGCATTTCAAAAGCCGGTTTTGTCATCTAGCTGCATGTGGAAGCGAGAAAGCTTTGCAGAGAAATGTCAATTGAATAAGTTGTATGACATATACATAATAGTGATCTTCAACATTTCTGTTTATCATATATATCTTTCTCTTGTTTTATATTCACCATATCCAGGCAAAAAAATGAATTTTGGAAGATGACGACATTGGAAAAAGTCTTACTATCTAACGTAATCACCATGAGAGCACAGGCACTCTATCTATATATTTTTCTTTTTTCAACAGTTCTCTTCAGTATGTCTCATTGAGATCTACAAATGGGAGGGCATAAAAGCACACATAGACATGACTGGGAGACATATAATGCTCAATGAATATCTATTGAAGAATGATTTGGGAAGAGTCACAAAAGTGTTTATCACCCTGTTCCTTTAATCCAGTCTGAATCTGAAGCATTTGTTCCTTATGGAGGCATCTGTGTCTATGGAATATCTCCTTCATAACTGTCTCTATTACCTGCCAGTCATACCACACAAGTTGGACTGGAAAAGTCAAGCCCCTGAATCCATGTACCATCATCGAACTTTATTATTAGAGAGATAATTTGAGATCCTATGGCTTCAGAGACAGAATTTCCTCAAATCACCTATGATTAAACCAAACATTTTGTGTGTCTGAATACCCACAAGTGAGACAAAGTTCAGAATGCTGCTATATCCACCCACCAGGCTCGAGTACATGTCAGAGGCCGGGCCTTTTGTTTTGCAGACATGCATGTTTTATAGACATTCAGCAGCTAGAAGACAGTCAAGCACTTCATTTTGTTTTGAATTCAGAATAAAGATACACTCTAGAACTATACTCTCCAAAACAGTAGTCACTAGCCTCAAATTCAATTAGTTAAAATTCAAAGTAAATTAATTTAATTCCAATTTATTCCAATTAAATTCAAGTTCGTTAAAATTAAATAAAAGTAAAAAGTCAGTTCTGCAAACATACTGGCCAAATTTCAAGTGCTCAGTAGCCATATGTGGCTAGTGGCTACTATATTGAATGGTGCAAATATAGAGTATTTCCATTAGTACAGAAAGATTTATTGTATAGTATTGCTCTAGAATATGTCACATATCACACCGAAAAAATTCTAATTTGGATACCCCAATTCTGCACTTACATCCTAATCAAACTACCCTGACTTTCTAATCTTTTTATTTATTTAAAATGTCTAAAATTGTTCTTGTTTAAATCTTTTTTGAACAAGTGTAGATAATATTTCCTAAGGTCTCTGAAATATACCAAAGCAAAATAAAGAGTATCTAGTATCTAAAATACAGAGTTAAATTTCTGAACGTTGGTTTAAGTGGAGAGGAGTCCCATGTAATTTGTAAAAAGTCAAAATTACAGGTCATTAATAAAGTATATTCAACTGATTAAGTTGTACCAAAGGCACAAATAAAAACCTAAAAGTGTTGCCAAGTAAAACTCGATTAGACCTGATATGATAAATAACAAAGAATAATTTCTAACTCAAATACTGTTCTATGCAAATTGGTTGGAAATGTGTCACTGAAATTGTTCACTTTTCTTGAATAAACCTAACTTTTCTCCCTGAGGTATTACTTCCTCATAAATTTGCTTCTTCTATAGCAAATGCTATATGCTTTTTTAGAAAGGTAAATGCTTTCTAAATTATCTCAAATCTGTATTAATGAGAATTAAATTAATGAGTTTAGCATATAACATTACTATGAAAAGCAATAAAGATGTATAATAAATTGGACAGAAACTATATATGCATATAAAAATAAGTTTGCATACATAGAAACAAAAAAAATTATTCTCTTAATCAGCATAAAAGGATTCTAATATCTCCTAAACGTACATTTACATTTGGGTATGTAGTAGCATTTTTAATTGAAGTGTGTATTTATACATTCCTATGTGTAATTTCTCCTGTGATCCCCAAACTTTGATAATGATGCAGCATCTTGTCTTTCCAACTGAGTAAAAATATCCTCTTTTTTTCTATCTCAGAAGCTGTTCTGAAAGTGAAACAGCCACTGGTGAAGAGACAGAAATCAACCCCAGTCGTGTCACACGAAAGAACAAGGACACAGGTCGTAGATTCCGCAGGCCAGCCAAGCCTGAAGGTAAGGGAAGCGACGAGAACGGTGTGGGAGGCGGTTCGGCCGCTGGTCCACAGGCCCGGCAGAGGCGGAAATCGCTGCCGGGGGGCCCAGGCAACTCTCAGACACTGTGATAATGTCTTGCCTGCAGGTTCTATCTCCCATCCCCGTCTCCACCGCTGCCAAAGCCTTGAGACCATCACTACACTACCATTGCCAGGTTTTTAAATCCCCCAGGGGTAAAATACATGTGGAGAGTGTGATTCTAGCTGATTTTTAAGCCCAGGCATGTTGAATAGAGTCTTAAAATAATCATTTCCACAGGACCTGACTAGGTATCCAAGTGTTCACCAGATGCTAGCAGCTAGGTTTTGCAAAGGAAAATTGCTAACTTAAGCTTCTTTTCATGATTCAGCAGAGGGTTTTAAGTAATAAAAGATCTGGAGATTTGTAAAATAAATAATTCTAGGGCTAATGGAAAAATTAAAATAATCTTATCATCTCCCAGTCATGTCTATGTGTGCTTTTCTACCCTTATCAAATTTCTCTTAATTGAACCAGTGTTTTTTTCTGGCTGATATTTTATAGTTTTAAGTTATGAGATGAAGTGAAGAAATGATTCCTTTCAGATGACTTAAGTGATGTGTACTAAATTTTAGAATGTATGAAACAGAGCGTAGTGTAACAACTACACTTTTATTCCCATGCACTATTGAATATATCCACAGTGAAAAATAATCATGGCAAGCCAGAATCTCTTTTATTTCTTAATTCATCTCTCAGAGAAGCAATTAAAATATAAACTATGTCATTAACTTTCAAAGTTTGATGAAAAAAAAAATGCCGTCCATTTCTGATGAGTAGAAATTATCTCATAGTATCCGTAGCTTATTACCATTGCCTGCTCTTAAGTGTGACTTTTGGAGACACAACTCAGTATTTTATAATATTTAATGGTACAATGGATTTTTATAGTCTATTTAAATTTATTTAGTAATTTAAATAATGAATGGTTAAGATTCCTCAGATTCTTGCATTCTTGCTGGAGGTGCACTTGAACAAAAAGAAAAGCACCTCATCTAGCAGTGTCATTAAGGCCACATGACCACATCCTCTCTAGAATGAATCCATTCAGCATTCCTGGAGAAATATAAATATGTTAATGATTTTCCTAAGGTATAACATTTTTACTGCAGGTACCACTAATTATTTTGGCTGGATTTCATCAAGGCCAGATACAAATGAAATATTTATACAAAAAACGTTGAATAAAAAATACATGCTCATTTAAGCAACAGGTTACAGGACTCAAACTGATCACATATTTTAGAGAAGTTGATGAAGGAAGTGTAACTCAGGTTATGTGTTCATAATGTCAGGGTAAGGTTTTGAACTCAATCCAGAGACATTCGGTAATTGTTGCGACCAACTACAGTCTCAGCTTCTGAATTTCTTGTAACAAAATCTTGCTGCCAAGGGCATTGATGGGCTAACCCAGTAAAAATTATGATAATAATGTTAAACTAAATCATAAAAATGCAGAAGGTGATTATTAGCGGGCAAAGAAGAGGAATTGCTAGTAAAGTTATGATAGAGATATCAAAAATACATTTTACTGGACTTTTTAAAAATTCAGCTTTGTTTTTAAAGTCAGGTGCAAAAGCAGTAAAATGTAAAGGTTACTCAGTCAACTGTTCAATGGTCAAGAGCAATGAGTCAGCAAATGAAAATAAAAATTACATTTATTCAACATGGTCATCAATTCAGGCAGGCCTGAAGCTTATATGTGAGAGTTTTCTAGTAAAAATAACCAGCTGAAAGTCATTTTTAAGAAGGAATTTTGACTGAAAAAAGAATAAAGAACTTTTTGAATGTATGTCTTCTTTTTGGTGAAAATGAACTTGGCTTGTGTTTAATTTCACATAGTATAAAACTAAATATTTTATGTGGTTTTTAAGTTTTATGATGAAAATCATCTGAAACAAATGTAGCAAATTAGAAAAAATTTTAAATATGAAAAACATGATAGGCTGCCTAAGGGGAAATGAAAAACTAATCCCCTGTGTGCTCCCCAAAAGTAAAGAATGTAACTTTTAAAATTATTTTTAATACTCTAGCATTTCCTTTCTGATAATTTACCTTCTGAAAATATAGATTCCTGAATCATACATATACCATAGACATCAGGGTAGACAGATTGCATATCTTCCTCAAGTTAAATAACACATATCTTTAAGTGACAATTATAGGAACAAATTCCTTTTGTTCATTAAAATATTTAATGTGCCAAACACACTATTAGCACTAATAACATGGGTGGAACTGAATTATTCTCACTTTCTGTTTAGAGATTAATATGTCTCTTGGATTCACATGAGAAATGTGGTGTCTTGCACATGAGAATTAATAAGGTACATCTGTAACCAGAAATAGTCCATGGGAAACCTGCTGAATTGATCCATATCTGTTTTATTAATCAAACCCACTACGGAAGGACTTTTTGTGGTTGTACTATATTTTGGAGATAAACAGAGTGGGGAAACCACAGTTCAATTTAGAAGTTGTTTGAAACATTGAAGAATGTGAAGTTTTATATTATATGACAGCAGTAAAGTCTAATCCTTGATGGTTGTAATTCCGATATTTAAGTACATAAATATCCTGTATTTATAATTTTATTACAGAACATTATGACAGTGGCCAAGAAGACCCTAACTATTTAATATGGAATTTACTTCTTACTGACACTCTCTTCCTTCCTCATTTTTTTTTTAATAAAAAGGTTTTGGGGTTTGTTTGTTTGTTTTTTAAGCTACTTTGGTATGAACAGCCTTTAGTTGAAGCAGATGGCTGGAAGTCAGAAGCCCCAGATTCTATCCTTGAGGCTCCTACTGCTGGGAATGTGGCCTTGGGCAAATCATGAGAGTAAATCTACAATAAAGAGGGTAATAATGTCTTACATATGTGTGGTGTTTCATGATCTAACAGAGCACTTTCACATACAATATATTATTTAATCTTCCCCACAGCCTCCTAAGAAGAGCATGGCAGTTATTAACAACCTCCATGATAGACAGTAGGAATTTGAGACCCAGAGACACTAAATCATGTCAAAATCAAATGTCAAAGCAGGGGGAACAGACGTATAGGATGACTCTAAGCTGGTCCTTTGTCTTCTTTCCTCTACATCACAACTGCCACCCTCTGGAGCCTCCAAAGCTGAAATGGTTAGAGCTGTGCTATCCAAAATGGTAACCACGAGCCACATGTGGTAACTGAGCCCTTAAAAGGTAGCTAGTCCCAGCTAAGATGTCCTGCAAATGCAAAATCCATGTGGGATTTCTAAGACTTCTAATGAAAACAGAATATAAAATATCTCATTAATACTTTTCAGATTGATTGCACAATTAAATGGTAATATTTTGGATATCTTGAGTTAAATACACTATTAAGAATCACTTCCCCTGTTTCTTTGAACTTTTGTACTGTGGTTACTAAAAAATATGAAGTCATTTACGTGGCTCACATTGTTTCTGTTAGAGCCTGACTAGATGATTCCACTGTTCAGAGCCACAGTACAGATTTCACAGTACTGGACTTGCTTGTGCACCTGTTTTGATGAAGCTGAGACAGATTTCCAAAAATTCTGTCAAACATAGAGCAGCATGGATTGGCAGCAATGATTCAGCCATTCCCACAATCTTCCACATTTAAGGAAAAAGTCAGATTCCATTCATTGCTGCTTCAAATTGCTCATTTGTTTAAAAAGGCTCATCTTGTACTTTCTGAATGCTTGAAAGACTTAAAGTAAATATACCATGGAAAGAACTATAAATTATATTTATGACTCTGCAGCACACCTTGTTTTAAAATGTGTTCCCATTAAACATTATTAGTGAGTGAGACATTAGACTTTTGGGTGACACAGGCAATGTAAAACACTAATTACATATAAATTTATTGCAAAATATAGTATATTTGATTCCCCCAACCGAGACTTTAAGATATTTTATATAAAATCCCTGAAGAAGTAGCTTATTCTTGTTTTGAAAAGTCTACCTGAAAGTCTTTAGGAAAAAAATTAGGTTCTTATTTAAGAGAAAAAATATTTACAGGAAAAAAATAGCTGAAATAATTGAAAGCTAAGAACTATTTGGCCTTTGTTCTGTGGGCTTAGACCAAGATTTTCTCATTAAGGGATTTGAAAATTAACAACAGGGAGCAGAACCAGAGCTTTCCACCATTACTGCCTCTTTTTTCAATGCTATTTGAAATCACAGTACAACCTACCACAACAGTATTAGAATATTTGGAATTGATTCCATTTTATTCTTTTCGACTCCTTAAGTGTTTGTCTAGCAAATACAATGGATCAGGGACAGTTTTAGGCACAGAGAGGATATTGGGCAATAAGGCCAGAGCTCTGCCTTCAACAAGTACAGAAGCTGGTAGTGTATTAAAAAATACACACTTATAAGTAAGATTATGTAAAGGAGTAGTTACTCTCCACTTTCTAAAGGATTTTTTAGTACCTCAATAGAAATCTTTATAACACTGTTCTCCAGGGTATTAAAACTTACCTATTGTTTATTTTAAAAAAGGACTCATGTAAACAAACAAACAACCATGTAGTATGAATTTCAGAGGTTTGCTCTCTTCTATACATTTCCTCCTCTGACAGAAAGCAGGCTGAAATTATCTTAAAATCTTTTCTGGAAAAAAAGAGGGATGAAAAACAAACAAAAAAGGGACCTAAATCAAAATGGCACTGAAGATCACAAAACAGTGAAACCTAAGAGTTTTATAACTTTTTATACAGTAATAATTATATGCTACCTTTGAAAGGAGAGATTAAAAAACGTAAAATTGCACATTTCAAATCCTACCAAAACTTTATAATTTGAATTTTTAATTTGGTTGTGTATCCTTTTGTGCTAGGATGAAAAGATGCTAATATTGACTGCTACATAACATATGAAAAGCACATTCACAGTGATCTGTAAAATAAAAAACAAAAATATAAC